GCTTTGTAGATATAGATTTAATTTTACAATTATTTTTAAGTGATTGATAGATTGAATACTTAGTCAACAAGTTGGCTACATATTGTACATATTGGAAACTTATATTGTAAGTTAAACATGTATTTTATAAGTTGGATATACATTAAATGACCTATAGGACGTCACTACAAATTTATTTAGTTAAATTATATATATATAGAGGCAAAAGTGAGGTCTTTATCACTCTTATCAATGTCTTTTTTGTTTTTAGTTTAGTTTCAAGAGCTCTAGTTTTATTATCTTTGACAATTGTTATTTTAGATTTGTTGTGAGATATATATATATAATTTTTGATATAGTTTTTAATTTATTTTATTTATCTTGCTTTAAATTTTCATTTTTAATAATATTTTTATCTTAGAAAGTAATTGAAATATTTATAAGTCCAAAATTCATAACATGATATTTTAGTTGGCCATACTTAGTACAAAATATATTCTTTAATTCATCTCATATATTAATTTATACAACATTTTAGGCTCTTTCTAAATCTATTTTTATATAGATCTTAGCTTCACTTATTTGAATAAATATTATTTTATTTTAAAAACAAGAAATATCAAATAGTAATAGAAATTATGTTGAGACAATAATTTTTTTTATACTTTTGTAAAGATTTGTCTTTTTTCTTCACCAAGAAGATGGATGCACTTTGAATGGATTTTGAGTATTAAATAAAAAATAGTATTTTATAAGTATTTTTATTAATAAAAAAATTTATTTAAAAAAATATATATTTACAATAAGTTGTAAATAGGTCTAAATGGTGGATGAGCTCTTGTTTAAAAATGAATTGAGCAATCTTAAAGATTACATTTTAGTAATATATCAAACTTCTCCTTTATAATATCTCTTAGTATTCTACATATTGTTTTATAATTCTATTACAACCTTCATTAGAATGAAGACTTAGTGCTACAAAAGAATGAGAAATTAATTAATATTTTTCAACTTGCATAATTGTTTTAGCTTCAAAAAATTAAGTTTGTAATTATTTGCTAATATTCAGATTAAATTTTAATAAGAATTATTGTAATTTCTCTATGATTGAAGATAATATAATTCAAACCAAAAAATACCAATAAACACCAGATTTGAATAACATTCAATGGTGAAGACAATGTTGAATACATAATCTTCTAACGCTACTTTAAATGGCTTTGTCTCTTCTATAATATCTTTAAATTCAAGTAAATATCTATCTATAATCTCAACTAAAGTTGGTTAAATCTTCTTTAAGATTATAAATTTTATTATATTAGAAAGTCTTTATGTATAAAATACATTAAGACCTTGGTGTCTAAAAATGTCACAAACATACAAGGAAGATTTTAGAACCTTTCAAAAATCTTCCACATCATAATAGTTTTTTTTTTTTAATATTTTAAGATCTTTGTAGAAATATGTAGTAGGTAGCTTAGAAACTAACCTTTATTAGATGGCATCTTAAAAAACTTCTAAAATAGCTCAAAAATTAAGATATGTGATTTAACTTGACCACAAGTCTTTTTAGAATGCTTCTTCAGACTTGACAAATAAATCATCTATTAGCTTGTGTGGCAAGGCATAAGAAGCTTAGACTTCAAGTGTTAGATCTTGCATGTAGTATAAATAGAGAGAAGATTGAGGCTTTCAACGGTCTTGTCAATTCATTTCTTAAAATTATACTTTTTGTTGCTTTCAGGCTTGCTTGTTTATAAAATTGACCATTGATTATTGTCTTCTTGGTTGTCTATTTTTTTTATACACATCTTAGTCTTCAATGCTTAAAACTATTTCTTCTTGATTAAATTTTAAGATATCTCCTTAACAAAATAAATTGACTTAAAATTTTATAATTTAAAATATTAATCATTATAAAAAAAATTAAAATAAGATATAGGATCTAATGGTTAAACTTTATTTATAGATCACAAATTATAAAAAAGAATTTAAAAGTTTAAATTTTAATAAGAATACTATTTTACATAGAAGAATAAACACACAAAACTACTCAGAATATGTATTCAAAAAATATTGTAGCTCTTTCTTTTTTACTTAATCATAGTCATGGCCAATGCCTATATATAAATTTTAATATAATATAAGATTATAACTAGATATATATATATATATATATATATATATACATAAATTGCACTTTCACAAATGCTTTTAAATTTATAACTAAATCTGTGTTTATTATATTTAATACTTAACTGATATTTTATTTTTAAATTTAATTTTTAAAAGAAATTGTCTTTCAATGACATAATAGAAAATATTTAAAATTATTTTTAAAAAATCCTATTCCAAAAAAATATTTATTTAATTAATATCTATTATTATTTTAGGTATTAATCTACTTACAAGTTTATGCACTTGTAACTTTTACATTTTTTTTCTTCTTATATTGTGTAATAAGTCAAATAAACTATTATCAAAAAAAGAATGTGAAATAACTTATTTAAGTAGATTTTAAGTAGCATTTTAGAAATTTATTTAAGTAGATTTTGTAGTAGCATTTTAGAAATTTTGGTCTTTGATAAATGGTTGTTTAATTTCTTCATTGATTTTAATGTTTTTCTAAAACAATCTTGTTATTGTTTTAACAGTTATCTTCTAAATTTTGTTTTTTGTATTTCTATTTTTTGTTACTATACCTCATAGAATGAGAAATGTTTTCAAAAATACTTTTGTGACTTTAAAAATAATTAGAAATCGAGTTACACACTGTGGACCGTATTCTTCAGTAAAAAGAATGCTACACAGAATGTTAATTAATTAAGTATGGCAAAAGTTCATAATATACACACAATGGTGGATATTTTCTTCACTTCAATACTGTATAAGTATCTAAGAAACAGTTGTTTTTGGGAGGTTAGGATTGAAACTTTATAACTAATATCTTCTGTTATTTTACTTTATTGTTTGTTTAGGCTGAGGTGACAATAAAAATTGGTGAGGTGACGATGACTACAAAAGACTTGTTTAGTATAAAAATAACGTAAAAAATTGAGTGCTCTTAATTTATTAGTGTCAACTTAAAGTTAATCTTAAGATAATTGTCTTCACCATGCATTGGGAATGGTAGTTGCACCACTAGATGATATCTAATTAGATGAAAAAAGTAAAATAGTGTTTCTCTAAGACCCCAAGTATGAATGGACTCTAGCATCTATTTTTGGCATGTTCTTTTGTGTAATTCTTGTTATCTTAATTGTCAAATTTGTAAATTAACGGCTGTTTGTTAACCTTGTCTGTATGTAGCACGTAGAGAATTAGTACCTACTAACAAATGCTGAAAAATGGAAGTGGCATTTTCAACAACTATGACAAATGTGCTGTAAGCACTGAATTTGATAATAAATTTCATTTTGACCCAAATTTACACGACACAAAATTACATATTATAAAACTTACAATCAAACATTTTTTTAAAAATAATTATTCCGTCCATTTGCGAAGTTTGAAAATTTCAACTTACCAGCTAGCATCTGGGCAATTTCGTACATTCTTATTTTAATCCTATAGTAAGAATGTATGCCCAAATTTACTCCACATTATAATTAATACAAGGAGGAGGAAGGAGCTCGGAGGAGGTGGGGAAGTTGCCTAAGGGGGGAGGGAGACGGTGTGATGGAGAGGGGTCGGAGCAACGCAATTCAGCGCAACGCAATGCAGCTCAACGCAACGCAACACACGCGAAAGAACGGCCTAGTGGCAAAGGTAGGACGGACTGACGGACGGACACAGGGCGAGAGTGGTCATATGCCGAGGATGTCCGCTTGGGCCCAAGGATGGAGGGCAACAGATGAGCGTGCAAGCCGAAATTTGCAGTAGCAGCCTTGTGGACTGAGGAGGCGGAGGCGGAGGCGGAGGAATTTGATGCCCACAGATGGCCACGACATTCACTCACCCCACTTTCCCCCCTCTCCCAATCTCTCCCTTACTGCAGGACGAGTGCGCAGAACAAGACGACAGGGGGGACGTAGCGCACGGCCAAATGGAGAGGCGGAAGGAGAAGAGAGAGGGCTAAGCCCTGGGTGAAGAAGGGAGAAGGGGATCAAGAGCCACACCCGGATTCGACAGGACCAGCGAGCGCCAGCCATCGCACAGTGGCACTCCTGACACAGGAACAGGACCCTGTGGGAACGGAGCGGAGGGGAGGGTGGGTCCCACGCTCGTCCAGGAGGAGGAGGAGGAGCAGGAGAAGGTCAGCCCTTTCATCCATCCATATACCATCTATTTATGAACCCGAACATTCATCTACACTCCCCCCCCACCCCTCTCACCCATTCGACCATCCATTGGCGTCCATGGGAGCGACCAGAGCACGAGGGGGAGGACGGCCCTGGATGCGAGGCGGCTGGAGGTGCCGGCATCATCTGCTCGCATCCAGACCGCCATCGTTAGAAAAAATCGGGGCACGCGATGACGACTAGGCTGGGCACAGCCTGACCGACCCCATGCAACTTGTGTCGTCAAGTCTCCTGGTGCTGCTGGGTATAAATTTAATGAATGAACACTCCACCATCTTCCCCCCTACTGTGCTCCGCTCTGCAACCCCCCTCTCGTTTCTACACGAGCACATCTGTGCACATCTATGCCCCCTACTGAGTGACCCTGGCCCACCACGCACACACATGTTGTCTATGCGTTCTGATACGCTATCTCCTGTGATGGTTATTCAGTACTCTAGCGGTCTAGCCTAGGGACCTACCTAGGGTGGTGCTGGAAGATGAGATAGGAGACCCTAGCAGACACACTCCTTTACCCCCCTCCCTGGTGCTGCTGTACAACAGGACGAGGACCAGGACGAGTCATCCCATCAACAAGAGGGTTTCACGCTGCCTCAGGAACCCGCAGTTACTCAACTTATTATCATAATATTGTCATTGTAGTATTGTTGGCAGCCAATCAAGAGTGTTACTCCTTTCCTGCCCTCTGTGTGTCCCCCCCCCCCCCCCCCCTGCATATCTTCCTCCTCTTTCCTCCTCCCCCTCCTCCTCTTCCTATCTGCAAGGATTCGTTCGCAGGCTCCGAGTCATTCCTCTCCTTCCTCGCACATCATTCAATTCCCAACACCACCATCATTAATCTTATGCTTTGTGTTGCCTTTGCCTTCTACTTTCTTCTTCTCTGCCTGCCTCGCTCTTCACCACCCCACCCTTCGCCCCTCCATATCTACCGGACATTCAAACTTCTCTCCCTCCCTCTCCCCTCATTGTCAGTCTAGTATAATGATCCTGAAGTAATTTAGCGCCGTCCAAACATGTGATGGAACTACCAGTGTGTTGCTTCTAGCAGGGATATAACACCCACTATCATCACCTGCAGGGGGGAGGACGCAGTATTGTGATTTTTGCGTTGTTGTCGTTGTTGTCGTTGTTGTCGTTGTTGCGGTGGTGTTTTTCGATACTTACGGGGTTGTTGTTGCTGGCCTCGGTGCGTCGAGCTGCCTGGTTTAGTGACTTTCGGAGCACCCGCGTGAGCATATTGGAGTGTAAGTGGTAAAGCTGCTGCTGAGAAGATGCCAGGAAAGCTCCAGACTGTCACTGGAGGGTGGTCCCTTGGCCGCAGTCTTGGAGGTTGGACAAGCACAGAGTCTTGGGGGGAAAGAGCAAGAGTTCGAGAGGTGGGGATTTAGCTCAACTGTCAACTGGTAATCTAGCTCATCCGAACGTACTCTTCGTTTGCACCAGTTTCTAAATAGTGGAGCGTACTACATTTTAAGGGCGTGTCGGATTGTTTGACAATTCTACGGAGATTCACAGGTACGGGCCCACATACATTGGCAGCATAAGTTTCAAGAGATACAGCAGTACATAATTGAGATTTGCTGAGGAGGAGGGCGAGTAATAGTATGCAAGATGTCGACCCCCAAGTTGGCTTACTCGTCAGGGAGTTCTGTGAAGTCAAAGCATAGTGTCCGGGTGGCGCAAACTACGGCAGATGCCAAACTGCAGGCTGTGTACGAAGAATCTGGAGATTCAGGAGATTCATTTGATTACTCTAAATCAGTTCATGCGTCTAAATCCACGGGTGAGAATGTTTCTGCTCAAGCAGTTACCGCATACCTTCAGCGTATGCAAAGAGGGGGTCTGATGCAGACTTTCGGGTGTATGTTATGCGTGGAAGAGAGTAATTTTAGGGTTATTGCCTTCAGTGAGAATGCCCCAGAGATGCTTGATTTGATGCCACAAGCTGTGCCAAGTGTGGGCCAACAGGAAGTTCTGGGCATTGGAACGGATGCCAGAACTTTGTTCACCCCTTCCAGCGCCGCTGCCTTGGAGAAGTGCGCAGGAGCTGTGGATGTGACTATGCTGAACCCTATCTCAGTGCACTGTCGAAGCTCGGGGAAGCCGTTCTATGCAATTCTGCACCGTATCGATGTGGGACTGGTGATCGATTTTGAGCCAGTGCGGTCGAACGATGCCATTGTGTCCTCCGCTGGGGTGTTACAGTCGCATAAGTTGGCTGCAAAGGCGATTTCTCGGCTGCAGGCACTTCCTGGCGGAGATATTGGTCTGCTTTGTGATATTGTTGTTCAGGAAGTGCGCGAGCTTTCAGGCTACGATCGTGTTATGGCTTACAAATTCCACGAAGACGAACACGGTGAGGTCTTAGCAGAAATTCGGAGATCAGATTTAGAACCTTACTTGGGCTTACATTACCCAGCAACAGATATCCCACAGGCATCAAGATTCCTGTTTATGAAAAATAAAGTTCGAATGATTGGTGATTGCTTTGCTTCTCCTGTGAAAGTGATTCAGGACAAGGATTTGAGGCAGCCTATCAGTCTTGCGGGATCTACATTACGCGCTCCTCACGGTTGCCATGCGCAGTATATGGGTAATATGAACTCTATTGCTTCCTTAGTGATGGCTGTGATTGTGAATGACCCTGACGAGGATCCTAATGCACGCGGGGGTCAGCAAAGAGGGCGCAAGCTCTGGGGATTGGTAGTTTGTCACCACACGTCTCCGAGGACCGTCTCTTTTCCCTTGAGATCGGCTTGTGAGTTCTTAATGCAGGTATTTGGTTTGCAGCTGAATATGGAGGTTGAGCTTGCAGCTCAGCTAAGAGAGAAGCATATTTTGAGAACTCAAACCCTCCTCTGTGATATGTTGTTGCGGGATGCACCTATAGGAATCGTATCCCAATCACCCAATATCATGGATTTGGTCAAATGCGACGGTGCAGCACTGTACTATGGGAAACGGTTTTGGCTCTTGGGAATTACACCTAACGATGCTCAGATTAAGGAAATTGCTGATTGGCTCTTGGAACATCATCAGGATTCGACCGGTTTGAGTACAGACAGTCTGGCCGATGCAGGTTACCCTGGCGCTGCGCAGCTTGGTGATGCTGTGTGTGGAATGGCAGCAGCGAAGATTACCTCTAAAGACTTTCTTTTCTGGTTCAGGTACTTGTTGATATTCACATTATTCTGTGATATTTGTAATTCAATGTTTTGTTTCTTGCAGTCAATGAATTCACAGTCAATTAAGATGATGTCAACGTTGTCAGCTGCAATTGAAATTTACACCAGTTGAACGCAGCTCTATTGGTCGCAATCTTCAGTCTAGTTCAATTGATGTACAGCTGTTGGTCCAGGTCACAAAGGTCGTATGGATAAGTCTGTTTTTGAATTAGTGTTGATCATCTAAATAGAACAATGGAGAACCGTCGCAAGTCCAAAGATCTCTGTTCTCCTTTGAATCTGGTTTGGTACGTGTGCTCTTTTTTAGGTCGCACACCGCCAAGGAGATCAAATGGGGAGGTGCCAAGCACGATCCTGATGAGAAGGATGACGGCCGAAAAATGCATCCCCGGTCTTCGTTTAAGGCCTTTCTAGTAGTTGTGAAGAGAAGAAGTTTACCATGGGAAGACATAGAAATGGACGCAATTCACTCTCTTCAACTCATTTTGAGAGGTTCATTTCAGGATATTGACGATAGTGACACCAAAACTATGATACATGCCCGACTGAATGACTTGAAGCTCCAGGGCATGGATGAGCTCAGCACAGTCGCTAATGAAATGGTTAGATTGATAGAGACAGCGACCGCACCTATTCTCGCTGTGGACTCAGGTGGATTCATTAATGGTTGGAACGCCAAAGTAGCTGAACTAACAGGGCTTCCAGTCGAAGAAGCCATGGGTCGGTCGCTGGTAAAGGATTTAATTTTAAATGAATCAATCGATGTCGTGCAGCGGCTTCTCCACCTCGCACTACAAGGTAATAGCTAGCGCTCATTTGTTCGTCATTTTAACTTTGGGCACGCATACTTCTCTGCTCTACGCAGCTCCTAAGATTGTGTAGGTCATTATCCTGGTAGTCCCTAATGTCTCTAACCGCAATAATCCTTAGTCTCAAACGCACAACGTTTCTATTGAGTAGTTCATCTGTCAAATTTGGCAGTTAGGTTGTGTACCCAAAGAACCACGTTTTTAGCCCATCACATCCCCCCCCCACACACTCCCTCCTTCCACGTGTCTTTCTCGTACTCATGCACGTGCTTGTTTATTATGTTTTAGTTGCGGATTAACTAATTTTGATTGTCTGAGTAGCGGGACCAATGTGTTCAGCTTCTTAATAATCGTCACATACTTATTGATTGGTTGCCGTGCTCATCATTTGCAGGTGACGAAGAACAAAACATTGAGATTCAATTGAAGACCTTCGGTCCACAAAAAGAGAAAGGCGCGGTGATTTTGATAGTGAATGCTTGCTCTAGTAGAGATGTTCAAGACAATGTGGTCGGAGTATGTTTTGTTGGACAGGATGTGACAGGTCAAAAACAGGTTTTGGATAAATTCACTCGGATACAAGGGGACTATAAGGCTATAGTTCAGAATCCGAACCCTCTGATCCCTCCCATATTCGGTACTGATGAGTATGGATACTGTTCTGAGTGGAATCCTTCAATGGAAAAGCTTACTGGATGGAAGAGAGAAGAGGTAGGTTTACTATTTCTTTTCTTGTTTGGTCTTCATCTATTGGTTTGATACTGCAATTCGTGTATATTACTGTTTTCAATGTATATATGGTACTTACGTTCAGTTCAAGTAATTTTGCCAGTAACTGATAGTCGTGTCGCTAATTTATTTACATTGTAATGCAGGTGATTGGAAAACTGCTAGTTGGCGAAATTTTTGGTATTCAACTTATGTGTTGCCGACTCAAGAGCCAAGATGCAATGACGAAATTCATGATTGTACTAAATGGTGCCATGGACGGTCAAGACACAGATCGATTTCCCTTCTCCTTTTTTGATAGACAAGGGAAGTACGTGGATCCCTTACTCACAGTGAACAAGAGAACTGATGCAGAAGGAAGCATCACTGGCGTATTTTGCTTTTTGCACACAACCAGTGTGGAATTGTTACAAGTAAGACCTCAAATTTCCGTTGAAAACTCGCTGCAATGTTATCACTTCAGAACAGGATATTGAACGGTTGCGATTCGAGCCAGAATGGATTTCTTGTGTCAAGTTTTTCTTTATCGCAAATATTGAAATGTTCTTGTGAATCCATCCTCATTTCAATTGGTATCTTCTTGGATTTTGAGAAGGTCTGTAAATATCGTCCGTGAAGCTCAAATTGAATGTAAGAGTGTTAATTTCTCAGTAGGATATAGAACTTATCTATGATTGTCAACACATGTATAATACTTAAATATTTATTCTTGTAATTTCTATTTTTTCTGTTAATACTTTTCAAATTTATTTTTACTTTGCCTTAGTGAAGGCTTTTTAATAAAAAAATTATCCCACAGTTCATCATTTATTTTCGTCTTCAGATTTCCTTTTCATTTTCCTCTGCTCGCAACTAGTGTTGTGGTGCGGGATGAGATCAATGTTGTTTGTAACCGAGATCGTAGGAGTAGACTGGTTTGGCTTTGGAGTTGAAGTGACCCATGACTTTGTACGCAGGCATTGACTGTTCAACGTTCGACTGAGAAAGTTGCTTTCGCAAAACTCAAGGAATTGGCTTACATTCGACAGGAGATCAAGAATCCTTTGTATGGTATAGTATTCACACGTAATTTGATGGAAGACACAGATTTGTCTGTAGACCAAAGGCAATTCGTGGAGACTAGCGCGGTCTGTGAACGTCAACTGCGCAAAATATTGGATGATTTGGATCTTGAGAGTATCGAGGACGGGTAAGCTCTTAATCTTGCTCTTCTTCTGCTCCTCTTCTGCCAGTATTGATCTTTTTGAATAGCAGTCGGTCTATTTGATGTGATTCTCTGACATGTACGCGTGTTGCATTTTGTATATATCTCTGTATCACGAGGCTTGTCAAGTCAACTTGTTATTCAACTGTATTTGTTATGAGAAACTGTTATGAAAAGCAGATTGGTTTGTCAAGCTTACAGCTTGATAGTGTCTGAAATGTTTATTCCCTTTTTTGTTCTGCATTGAACAGTTACTTAGAGCTGGATACAACTGAGTTTGAGATGGGAACAGTGATGGACGCTGTTGTCAGCCAAGGAATGATCACATCAAGAGAAAAGGGTCTTCAATTAATCCGGGAGACTCCCAGTGAGATTAAGAACATGTGTTTATATGGGGACCAAGTCCGGTTACAACAAGTGCTTGCAGACTTTTTGTTAAATGCTGTGCGATTCACCCCATCCTCTGAAGGCTGGGTCGGGATCAAGGTGGTCCCAACAAAGAAGCGCCTGGGTCGAGGCGTTCATGTCATGCACCTAGAATTCAGGTCTGCATGCTTTTCATGATTTGCTGCTAATTGCGAAGTTATTGGAATTGTTTTTAATTTTCTGAGGTGAAAGTGTGATGTACTGTGTTCAACTGAATGTAGTATATTCAGCCTATTGTTGTTGACTTAACAGTTTTTAATACCAGTGTTTTGTTTTTTAGAGTTACACATCCTGGACTGGGTCTTCCTGAAGAGCTGGTTCATGAAATGTTTGGTCGAGGACGAGGCATGACTCAAGAAGGCCTGGGTCTGAGTATGTGTCGTAAACTTGTAAAGCTAATGAATGGTACTGTTCAATATATCAGAGAAACAGGTAAGAGCTGCTTTTTAGTTGAAGTAGAGCTTCCCTTGGCACAGAGAGATGATGCAGGTAGTGTGAGATCTACTGTTGTCTAGTTTATTAGAGCAACAATCTATGAGTACTTTTTGTCATATATCACTTTTCACATTTTGGTATGTGCTAGGGGTCAATACACAGGCTTGTCAAATTAAGTGTTTAGTTTGGTGACCGGTCCTATCATTCTCTTCTATTGATGGTTTCAAGTATAATCTTGCGATTTGTGACGTGTTCTTCCGACTTTAGGTTATACTTGATGAAGCTTTCAACAAGATATTAGACTCTGATCTTTTCCTTGTAGTGCGAAGTGTAAGTATATTGACGAAGACGATCTATATGACCATGGTCGTCTTGGTAGATCGTGAAGATATTTGTTCTGTGTAGAAGTTAAATAACAACTTTGCCAGTACAATTGATGACATGCTTCTCGGGACAGCATGCAGTGCTTATATTTTTTGCGTAGAAGTTTGTATTTCTCAAGTTTTTTCCAATTACATGTACTTGCCCTTGCTTCTCAACTTCCCGTAAGGGGCTGTATTTGGTTTTTACATGAGATTCATACTGTTAGTAGTGCCACAACAACTCGTATCATACTATGATTAGGTCTTTGAATATGCCTGAATGAAGACTAAACCTTTTCGTGAGGCCTCTTGTAGGTATCACAGGTTGTCGTGTTAATTCACGTGTGTGATCCCTACAGTGGGTATGTTTAAATGTGTCAGCATCCGATTGCACATTTTGGAGGTAGAAGTGTAACTGTTGCTGAACCAGAGGTTTGTTCTTTCTAGAACCTAGGGCTTGTTTACTATGAGAAATGAACCCAAACCTCCTATTTTTATTTCGCACAAGGTAATTCCGCGCCCACCCCCCACACCTTGATTTGATGAGATGATATCCTACACTGGGGAAGTAATTGTATTCATACTTGTTACCTGAACCCTAGGTGTCTGGACGTGCAAATATAGATGATATTTTCTTGGTTAGAACCTTAATTTTGAAAGATTAGACTTTGAGGAATAGGTATCCAGCTGGTACTTGGTATTGTATGAGCAACATATCTAAAAAGTTGTCCAAAAATGATTTTGTAGTTTACTTTTTGTTTAGGGTTTTTTTTAAACCCTAAATTCTTAATTTTAAACCCCTACTACTATTGTTTTATCTAGTAATTGGTTTAGGGTTTAGGATTTAGTGCAATTGATTATAATATGAGACATGTTTTCTATATGTGTGTTATATGGTCAATTTGTAGCACAAGCCATTAATACATCCATTAATATATGCAACATGTGGCCAATTTTTTTGACTGAGTTTTTAACCTATAAATCAATTGTAAACACATATAAAGTCAAATTTTTATTAATATAGCTTCTAAGAAGCTTCACCATAAGATATTATCAAATCTACATATATCTATTTTCTCCCTAATACTTCTTACCTAAATAATTATGTATGTTTGTCACAATTTTTGAAAATTACAATTATTTTATCAACTATTTAAAAATCTTCTTATTTCCACATTATTCTAAACTTTTCAAAAAAATTGAAACATCTTTGTCATATATAATAGAGTATTAAGGAAATGGCAAACTTCTTTATTTTATAAAAATAAGTTCAAATATTGACTTTGCAACATCTTTTAGAAGTCATTACATACATAATTCACAACAATTCCACAACACTGTAAAAAAATTATTGACTACTTTAACAAAAATCCTCTTGCAAATCAAAATATTAAGCTTCACCAAAATATATGTATGTGAAGCAGTTTGACTAAAAAGTATCCAAGTAAAAATCTCGAATAAAAACTTAGAGATATAAGACTATATGCCAAGATGGAGAAGTGTATATTTTACACAAGTCAAGTTGACTTCTAAAGATACATCATTTCAAGTGAAAAAATATATTATTTCACAAAGTATGATTTTTCTTTTATGCTACTCCATTATTAAGTGGAGTGTATGGTTAAAACAATTGTCTCTAAATCCCAATTAGTTTCTATACATCTCTACAATCCATTTGACATTTACTTAGAATTCATTTCCATATGTATTACTGCCAATACCAAAATTGAATCCAAATATTGTCACAATATTTATCAACTTTCAAAAATGACAAAAAGTCCAGTTTGTTTAATCCTCTTCAGTGCAATGTTTAGTGCTTACACTCACAAGTGTGACAAGTGTGAAGAGACCATCACAGAGGCATTCTGCTTTGCAATAGTGGTAATATTGGAAATTCTTATTATATGAAAATGCATTATATAAAGGACTCCCAAAGGATAACCGTGTTACCTAAGCTTAAGGACATGAGATCGTCCTATATGGTACACTAAAATCTTCACCTTGATGAGAAACTAGTCTAGAGCAACCTAATGTCTTTATTTGGTGAAGATTCTTTCAAGATAATTCAAAAGAAGATCGACTTGCACCCCAATTCGTTTCGTTAAAAACAGGCAGCCAAGTCAATGTGCATACTGATTGGGATAGTTGTTGAAAACGTTGTTTGGTTCTCTTCATTTTGATTCCCCTATAATAGGATACGGAAGATGCGTACATGGACTACTACCATTTTTAAAATAGTTTGTGTACCACTTGCCTTATAATGGATAGAACATACAATGTCTAATTTTTACAAATCGCAAGTTTGCTCATCATTCAACAATGCTTAACTGAAGAGATGACGTAACTTTGTCCAATTGACGAATCAGATGTGAAATCGACTAAAGTGAACAAACAAAACTTGCATGCAAACTATGTTTGATCAGTTGTCGACCTCTGGTTGTTGTGCCGATAGCTTCAGTTGTAGAATAGCTGTTGCATATGATGAATAAGGTAAATATGATGAACAAGACCACCCTGAATCTCATTCAACCTGATTTAGTCTCATTCATCTTTGTACTTGCAAGAGAGGATACATCTGGTTGCATGCCGAAAAGCAGTGCTTCGAAACGTCGTTGTCCTCAAGTAATCTGTAATTCCTGTTTATCAACACAACTAGAGATTGCAAGCTAAGTACTCATCAGCCCGCACAATCTGCATAATAAGTCAAATAAACAAGTAGAGATCCTTATTTTGATTGATCCAAGTCATTCCCAGATATAAAATCTACAGAGGGAGATATGCGTATCCGACAGATGGATTGCATGAATGTTCTACTCAGGGAAAATTGAAGTCCGAATGTTCTTAAACAAGCTTACTCAGGTTGGAGACTCTTCTTCATGCACAAATTCCTGGAGGCTCCAAAAGAACCTGGCATGCTCGAGCCTTACCTGCACAAACCAGTACATACATAACTCTGTCTCAACAAAAGGCAATGAAAAACAAAACCACCCAAAAGAAAGGGCACTAGTCTTTAGTTCAGATAGTCAACTGCTTAATACAATGTCTTAAGATCTAAGGAACAGAATTCCGTCTATTGACGCATATGCCCATCTTCATCAGGTAGAGCTTCGCAGGCTGCCTTGAAGGACAGAAAAAACACAGTTTAGGGTACAAATAATCGTCTCTCATAGCGGGCATGGGTTGTCGTTCCACGAACCATGAGGGCGAAGCTGGACCAAAATGAAGGATACTATCCCAGCGACCGCCACACAACCTCCCAGACTACTTCAATTTCTGGAAGCTGAAGGAAGCCAAAGACATCTCCCGTGCCAGAACACAAAATCGCGGTCTCATTTTTCAGAAACACACTAGGACCACTAAGCCATTATGTACCCAAAAATAAAGCGAAAGTTCGTACAGGTCAAGCAGGAAAACCATCAGATTTTTTTTTCTCCATTCCTTTCCTCATGTCCTAATTTCCCGTGAACAAGGCCGCGAAACAGCCTTTCGTATCATGCCTAGTGATCAGAAAATTCTGAAGCGAAATTCACCACTTTAGCTCCTAAAGCACAAAGTGGTATTTACATACGAGATTATAACAAGGGAACAACTACCCTCTGACTTCAACGAATATATAGTAATGTATGCTAAAACTATTATTGTCACCATTACATTACACGACAAGTCTAGGTGAGGGTATAGAAGGATGATTTTTTAACCCAGCCAGTACTAAAAACCCATTTACGAACAAGACACAATGAAAGTACAGGAGTAGACCATGCTTAACTTAAACACGTCATAACACAGAGAGAAAACAAAGCAAGTCTAGGACCACATACGGTGTAGCCAGCTTTCAAATGTGAGTAAGACTCCACTAGACACATGCTCAAGCTCAATTAAAGTTCCCACATATTACAAAGGTGAAGTGAAAAATGAACCAGGCAATCTTAACCTCATTCGGATAAAACCTACGTAACCATGTTGCAAATACGGGATCCTGCAAATAGAAGACCGATCACAACTGACTACAGACTGATTCAAGGAGACAAAGTAGGTATATGCTAAAATCTCTTCGTGTTCTCCACGGATTGCAGAAACTAGCTTGCAGAACTTCTGTAGGAGAAAAGATATTCTCGGTCCTCTTTGACAACATACAAAAATCTGTAGATGAGCTTTGCAGAAACCCTTCCCAGGCTTTAACATCTGGAAACCATTGGACAATTACATCAAATCTACAGCCTTTGCAAGGACTGGCTCGTTACGTGACCTACAGCGAGAACACCAGTTTAAGAAAAAAGATTAGACCATATCTGTCCTCCGTCACCCTCAGCAACCGTTGAAGGGATTAGGCATGTGTTTTTGATGGCTGCCCTATGCCATGCCCTTGAAACCAACATTCGTTTGAATAAGCTAGAAGTTTATCCAGGCACTGCATTGTACAGCCACAACTCTTACATGAATCACATAATGCAACAGCTATGGCATTTGGATTTTGCCGTTATGAACATCTCTTCTTACAGAAAACTCTTCCGTTCAGCCTTCACCATGTACTTCACTCGTATGATATTCCACAGCAACCAGAAAGTTCAAATTCTCCAGTTGCTTGTCTACGGCAAGCAGACATCTGGCACCCTTGAGGCACTGCCTTGTGTCATGAGAGCATGGGTTCGGGCCAGATTAACACTGAAATCAAACCCATCCCCAAAAAGCAACAATCTGTATCAAGAATTCGCTTAGAAGAGGCACTTGTTCAGGGTAACGTTTTCTGTTTCGACGTACCTATTGGTAAATTAGAATTGGGATAAACAACCATAAGATTGTTCTGCCACATGTTGGGTTTGAATGACAAAAACATAAACAATTACTATTGTTGCCTCACTTAGACACACTTAATGCTATACTCAATACCACGAACAAGCGGTTATGTAGTTGCGTTTACGGATCAAACAACAGTGAGTCAATAGAGAATGCACATACGTCGATCTCTAGTAATAAGACTGCTGGTGCTGTGTGACTTCCTGGAGCGCATACCCCACAGCTTGTTGAGGTACTTGCTGCTGCTGCTGCATTACACCATACTGAGTTGCATATGCTGATTGCCCTGGATATGAATTTGCTTGGGTCGTCTGCTCCATCCTCAAAAGATAAATGCAATTCAATAAAACAGAAATACTAGTTTATGATTGAAATAAACGAAATAAACAAAATCATTGGGCTTCCTAGTTTCATTAAAAAGATACGAGAGCACAACTTGTAAAGCTGGCTGCAACTCACCTCCTGGACCGGAACCGAAGTATTAACCATGTATTCCTGGTTGACAGTATAACCAGCATAGTTATGTGAGGCAGGAGCATATTGTTGACTATATGTATGAGCAACCGTCTGCCCAGTTCCTGTTCGATCACGCGAACTTAGCACAGAAGAAATAAGCTAGTGACTTTGAGAGGGGCATCCACTACAGTACAACAAAAACAGAAATAAAGCAAATGTAAACACGCAGGATGTGACGACAAGACAGATCGTAAAACCAAAAGACTTCGAAGTCAAAATCTGAGATCAATATCTACGCAATTGCACAGCCATTTGTTCTAATAAACACGAGTGTGATACGGGAATTTAGACAAAAATGAACTACCAAGTCTATAAAAATTGACAGAAATGGACGGATGTAATGTAACAATATCCAACCAGCTGGCACTCCCACCGTCGACTGAGAAGCTGCATCGTATGTAGAATATGCTGTGCCTCCTTGACCAGGTCCACCAATCACAGCAATCGGTATGGTAGTCTGTTGATTATGCACATGCGCCGGAACATGTTGCGTTTGAGCATGCTGCGTAGATAAGTGTTGCGCAGTTATGTGTTGCAAGGGAACATGCTGAGAGGGCACGTGTTGAGTAGAAAGATACGCAGATATTTGTTGCGTCGGGCCAACAGTGTGGACTACAGGTAAACCCTGTGACTGTTGTACATAGGCATTATGCTGTGATTGCTCTTGCGGCCGAACAAAAGCCGTTCTACATCACAATGAGTACACTATCGGTCATTCTCAGCCACTTTTAAACAAGGTGATACAAACACGAACTCGTTTAATAGCAATAGTCAACTTCGTGATTAAGGTTTTGTAAGTCTGTGCCAAATTCCACCTATTATAAATAAGCATTTTCAGATCATAACTACAATCATAATTATCAAAACCGTCATTACAGCAATACAATTATTAAACAAAAAATCCACAAAACTAACCTGGACGCATCCATGTAGATAGGCTGCTGAATAATAGGTACCCTGTTTTAGAATATTGAGAAATAGTACTGAAGGTTTAGGTTATGTCAACGTTTACAATCCAAATAAAAGTTTGCTGGTAACTCTTAAAAGTGACATCTAATCCAATTTGAACATATAACAAATCAATTCAAAATAAAGAATGAGCAACCGGAAACTTGGAAAATTAGTAATCCAACTATACCAGCTTATGTTTGGTATTAATAGTTTGAAACACATTGTCTACGGAGTGGAAAAGAGAAGTATAAACCAGTAACCTGGCTGCGTCTGAAAACATAGGCTGCGCTCCATAGCCCTGTACGCCTCCATTCTGCTGTATAGAAACATGTTCCATAGCTTCCAAGCGCTGTCGAGGAAGGCCTCTCTGTGTATCTAGGTAACGAGTATCTTCATCCTGCTCATTCAAACAAGAATGATGGGATTCCACACAATACATGAAAGACATAGTTCTTTAGAATTCCTACACATGAATGTCCCAAGTCAAGAATAAGACTCCTCTCCAGCACTACCACCAACGTCTGTAATTGGGACATCTACTGACCGGATAAATTTCAAAGGCAGTACCATGACAGCATAAGGCCGTTTAATTCCAGCTCTTTCAAAGTTGCGACTTGATCCACCATGTCCTCCACCAGGATGTAACTCACGGCCACCATAACCAAGAGCAGCAGGAAGTTCTCTACCACCATAACTAGTTCCACCCACATCCCGACCAACGTAGCTATTACCTCCACCCCCAACTCCGACTCCTCCAAAATACTCCCGCCCAGCATAGGCACCACCTCCGTATCCCCTTCCACCTTGAATTCTATCATAACGCTCAGCATAGGTTTCTGGGTGACTCGGCAACCCACCACGCCCTCCCCGCGATGATACACTGTAGCCAGTTCCACCTCGTCCTACATATTTATCTACATAGCCATTATGAGTGGCTGCACGAAGAACATCATTACTGAATCCAGTGATAGGTGTTGTGTTAGGGCTGCTTGGGTAACTGCCTCCAACTACACCACCACCTCCACATCCCATATACGAAGTGTTCCCATCTGGCTGTCTAGTTCGTACGCCACTTACTCCACCAAATCTTGGGGCTCCAGGAACATTGATACTCGTTGCTGCATACGTCCAATCATCATTTGGTCGTTCGCGCGGGTTGCGATATGCATTGCTTCCACCTCCACCAACCCTACCACCACCACTACCACCACCAGTCCATCCGCCACTCTTACCTTTGCGACCTGGACGATCGCGATCACCGAAACGTTGTCTAGACTGGCCAGGTTTTGTAAACTCAGACTCTGGAACTAATTCCATGATTTTTTCCAGAGCATCAGCGGCTGCCATTTGTTTAGCTCTGGCTTTGTTCCGGCCAGACCCAAACCCTTTCGTAGGAGGACCTGTAGTTCCACCAGCAGCTCCTCCAATAATTGCGATAACTTCAAAAGGACCATTGGTTTCTGCCTTTGTGTCATAGGTCACTTCACAGTGGTTACGGGAGGAATACTCATGTAGGAGTGAAAGAGGCGTCTTATTATGTAGCTTCTGGTCCTTACGTAGATCTTCAATAACTCTATGTACTTTTGTTTTCTTGTGAGCCTCTAAATCATCAGGAGAATCTGAACCAAATCCGCAAATTGCACATTCGAACTTGTCAAGAGTGGGTTTTGCGATTATCTCCGCAGCTGTAGATGACAGGTTTTCAGCTTGAACTGAACTACCACCAGATGAAACCAGGTATGCACCTTCAGTTTGTTCAAAATCAGGGAACATTCTTTTGCCCTCGGTTCCTAATAGAACACTGTCTTCAGTTGCTTGATCTTGCATAGGGGACGAAAACTGACATTTATGATCCAATATGTCGTGATTGAGTTTTTCCTTTAGTAGCTTCGAATCTGCTTCTACTTCTCGTACCCCATCCAATTTTAAATGGTTTCCAGAACTAACACTGTTGCCCCAGGATGACGCTAGAGAAAACAACAAAGGAACGTAATAAATATCATCGCTCAAATCAAAGACCAAATACCATGTTCTCTTGCACTCTGATTACACAGACCTAAGAAGAAAAATATGCTTAATATGACAGGTCAAAACTTCCAATATAATCTAGCCAAAAATCTGACAATCGGCATCAGTACACGTACCGTCACGAGCTCCACTTCCCATTCCATTGGTGCTTCCTCTTCCAACACGGCTAGGACTTGTCCCCACTCGATAATCTCCTCGAAATCCTAGTGAGTATCCTTCCCTTACCCCTTTTCCAAATTTGCTTTTGACTTGTGGTTTCGCAAGAACAACCTTAACCTTCATCTGTCGAGCATGAGACCAACAAAATAAATGGTAAGAGAGATCAACACAAGGACCAGGTTCAAAATATCAATCGACCAACTGTGCCAAAGTGAACAACTAAAATGACAAAAGGACGGAAACGGCCAAGAGAAAAGTACCTTCATATCTCCATCAATGATTTCGGTGTTGTTTAAGGCATCAATACACGTCAATGCGGCATTCCGTTCCATATAATTCACAAAGCCAAAATCCTTCCGTTTGGCAGATAGCATATTGCGGGCTAAAACAATGCGCTCTATCTCACCATACTTGCCAAAGTGCTCCCTTACGTTTCCTTCCTCCCACGTAAGAGGCATACCATCCACAAATACAGATTTTACCTGCCACATTTCACATGTCTTCTACATGAAGTATATGCAATAAAGTAAGACGTGCAGAAAGGGATACTGAAAGCCACCAACAGCAGTTGGTACAGAGAACATAAATGAATCGTATAAACTACTTACCTGAGACATCGTATCTTCATCAGGTTCATAAAGAGGTTGAGCCCATGCAACTTTAGCTGAGCGTTCAGTTCCAAAAATGGCATCTGGCTGCTGCAATTTTCGAAAAGCATCCAAAGCATCCTTGTGTGTGCTGAACTCAATGAACGCAAAGCCGCGGTTGACACCCTCCACTTGGGGATCTTCCATCAGTGTCAATTCCTCTATACTCTCAATACTAAGGCTCTTCAATGTCTCCAGCACCTGTACTCACCATCATCACAAAATCGAACCTCGCGTCATTTCATGAAAAATTGCCGAACATCCAAACCTCAGGTTCTCCTCCGAAACTCTATTCCAATACGTACAGAAGCGTCAAAATTAAACAACCAGGAAACTTGAGGGAAAAAACAATTTCTCTTCGCGTGCATATCACGCACCACTACTAACACTCACCATCTCTTTTTTCCAAGACTTGTTAATGTTTCCCAGATGCAACGTATCATTTTCCTCGCTAGGTTTAGCAGTGCATTGCCGTCCCCGAATCTGTGCAAAAGGACGTATTTGTGTCACATTGAACTATCGTCAAAAATAAGACATTGGGATTGTTAACAAACTCAACGTCAAAAAGTGGTCATATCCCTAGCAATTGACAAGCACATAAAACTTCTTTCTGTATTTATTTCAAAATTCAACATAAGGGATCTCCAGACAAAGTCGTCTATTTTCAAACAAAGATGAAAAATAGAGACTGAACGGTAACTGCATACTACCCTAATGAATTATCATAGATTTCAGGTACACAGATACTGTCCTGCAGCTGTAGCAGCTGCACTTATCATGAGATAGACTGACCTCAACAGTCTCGAAGTCTTCTGTAGCACGCTTAGCCATGGCAGCAGAGGCATAGCGGATGAAGGCAAAGCCTTTGTTTTTGCCAGTCTGGGGATTTCTCATCAATCGAATCTCAATCACCTCCCCAGCTTTCTTAAATAATGATTTCAAGTCTTCTTCAGTCGTGTCCTTGTCAAGTCCACCAACGTAGACCTCCAGTCTTTTATGCTTTCTTCTATCAGAAAGTGGCAAAGGATGTTGTGCCTCAGCATCATAATCTACCGCCTCTCCACTCAACGACTCCTTAGAGCCCTCTAGATATCCGTCTTTATCTTCATCGTGGTCCTCGTACCTCTCTTCAATCCCACCTGTTAGGGAAATCATAAAGCCACAATGAAATTAAAAACGAATTCACCATAAACAGATTATATACATGAGACAGATGTTTTGTTAAAAAAGGGAGTACGTATTCCATGTTGTATTTTGAGTTGATGACAAAGACAGAACATGTCGAGATTAAAACTAGCTATGCAGGTCTATGAAAACCCTAAACCCAGCGTGGGCTGTGAGCTCCAAGCAAGCCTAGAAAAACCATTTCTCTATGTCCACAGTTGTTATAGCAACCGCCTAGTTTCTTTCCGGACAAAATATCATCGCAACGAAAAGTTTGAGCAACATTATGTTCAATCCCGACATGATTAGGTATTGGATACAACCTTACTACAACTCTCGCCTATGAGATTATTTATCATGAAAGCTCTGTTAGCTTGAAAGCAGATGAGACCGTTAAAACTTCGTGCACGGAACTCTTGACAGAGGTGTGCACACCGAAGACCCCTAAAGCGGATGTTCGGATACAGTTAACATGTGTTACCTAGCAATTAAGCATATCTTCCTGAATATACTTAAATTGCGCAAGACCAAATTTGATAAAGTCCAACGAAATGTTTTAGAGGACCCTGAGATTATGATGATTACAGAAAACACCCTAAACTCTACGTCGCGAAAACCTACAAAGCTTTGCTCACCTAGTGTATCGTCAATTTCCCCGTAAAAGTCCTGTTCAGACGACTCCCTGACGATTCCAGCACTCTCAAGAGGGGGGTCGTTCCCTTTCTCCAACCTATCAACTGAAAGATCAGAGTTCGTTCTTTCACCTCCTACTTTCAATTTCACAGGCTCTAAATCCACAGTTACATGAGTCTCTTCCAATTTCACGTTGTATACTTCCATCTTCGTAGAGATACTCATCACCTCTGCCTTTAAATCTACATTACGTGCAAAAATAGGTTTCACAACTGAAGGCTTGTTCAATGTCTTTTGGACCACACCCTCCTCGCAGACCACCTCAATTGGCTCCTCCTTCATACTTTCAAATGCAGCACTACCATTTCCCCCACGTCTAAGAGGCACTTCTTTCATAGTCTCGTGTGTCTCTTGCGTAGTAATCAAAGAGGTATCAATGATCGACGGGTCTACATGAGAGAGAGTTCCTACTGCATTTTCAGAAACAGGCTCTACAGATTTTACAGCTTCTACTGCTGTTTGGACATTCTCAACCATCATCTCCTCACCGTTTGCAGAACGTACCAGCCCTGGCTTTGAGGGGTCAAACAGAGCATCAACACCATTGCCAGCGACATTCTTACAAATAATACTAGGAGTATCGCCGAATTCTGGAGGTATGCTGGTCCCCTGCTCCTCAGAAACAAAACGTCGCTCAATATTATTTTCCACATCCGGCTCAGAGTAAATAACCGTCACGCCTATCGCCTTATGCCTCAATACCTCCGTCAAAGATAATGTTTCAGACTGAGGAATGGATGCCAATTTGTGAGGGTTATAAGCTTCGAGAGACGATGAAAGTGGAGAGACGTGCTCAGCAGTCGCTTGATTATGTGACTCCACTTCTGCATCAGCTGCTACAGCTGATGCAATTGCAGCAGCTCCCCGTCCACGGCCTCTACTTCGCCCCCTGCCTCTGCCTCGAGCCGACCCCCGCGCCATCCTGCCAACCGACTCGGTGATGGAACTCCGAATCCACGCTTCCAAACCTATCAAGTCTAGAGCATCAACCCTTCCTCACTCGCAGTCCGAAGCCAGCAAAACGAGCGAGCGAACACTACCAAGAAAAGATTAGAAAATAACATATTGTATGTATGTATGTATACTGTGAGAGAGAGATAGAGAGGCACACACAGATGTTTTCGACTGAAGTGCTTCGAAGAGGAAAATTCGAAAGCCCTAAGTGCACCTTAAACGATCAAGCCTGTAAGAACGGAGAGCAATTAAGGGGGGTTGCCACAAGAAAACCAAAGAGCAGAGACACCGTGATCAAAAGCGATGATCTCAAATGCTCCAACAGCGTTGAATCAGCAAATCTGAATGTCTCAATGGCGCAGGTAAGCTGGGCTAGGGTTCCACGATTCAGTTGACAGGAACACCAGACGAAATAGTGGCGTGGATGACTACCATGGGCATGAACCAGTTGAACAGTCTGCCACGACGACAACATAAAGAATGCCCTGTTTCGTCGTCGCTGAGCTCTGACCACCCCCACCCCAGCAGCCGAGGAGGTCAGATTTTATGTTTACATCAATGCTGTAATCCATCCCAATTGTTCATAGAATGCATTCCATATAACAACAGGTACCCAAATTCAACCCAGCTTTTTGGAGCATGCTTCATGGAATGTAGATCCTTTGTTATACTGTCACTTACTGGCCCTTGGCAATGACTTGTTGATGTTCTTCAAATCACAAAATCAAAATTCAAAAGAAATGGCAATCTTTAAAGTTATTGTAAACTTTAACTGCTTGAGGTAGGTCTATCTCATTAACGAATTTATTTATTTATTTATTTATTTATAGTGATTCCACTATCATTCTCTCTTGCGGATGTTACTGATACTAATTTATAATGTTTTATTCTAAAATTTTAATGCTATTCCAATTAATCCTGTTCTAATTTCAAAATATTTTGTTATCAATCTAATTAATAAGAATGCATAATTATTATTTACGTTTATTCTTTAAAATAAAATATGATATTGTTGCAAGCCTTAAACAATGCTATCACCGAATCTTAACTATTATCTTTTATTTAAAAAAATAAAAATAAACAAATGGTGTTAGTTCTCAAAATTCCCTAATTGGTTGAATTTCAACTCATAGAGAGTGACTATTAACTTTCGGGCAATTCTCTGATGAACTGAATTCCAATTGATGTATCATTAGCTGAATTTTTTGAAATATTTTTATTCATAATGTATCAATTTTTTGACAAACAGTTTGGTTAAAAAATTAACCATTTAGTAAAAATCATAAACAAAAATATTTCAAAAACTTCAACCAATCACATTCAAATTTTCACAATATCTGCAATGATATTGTGATATTATAGTCCATCTATGCTAATAATTTGTATTGCTTATTAAACTTGCTTTAGGATTCAACAATAATTAAGCTTGCTAGATAGGTTTATTTTCTAGAATATATATATATATATATATATATATGGAATACATTAGTTTCTAACTGGTATTTCAATTTCATTATTATATTGCACTTCATGATGTCACCATATAATTATTTGTCTTCTATAATGATGTTGTAGCTCTTCTTTATGAGATTGTGGTTACCATTGGTATGATGGTGAAAAGACCAAGACAATTTTGTTCATGCAAATTTATGCTAATAAGATCCAAAACTTATCCATATCAAAAAAATTGTACCAAGATATTGTACACAAATATTTGCAAATAGGGCCAAACATAAGATATACCACTTGACTTTTTTTAAAAAAAATCCCATCATAATCCATAAAAGTGGGAAAACTAATTTACTTCTTTATAACAATTTTGAAGTTTATGCTAACATCCTCCACTTTTCCTTCTAAATTAAAGAATAAATCAACATATATATATATATCCTAAACCCTACAACTAATTTATTAAAAAAATATTGCAAAAATATTTTATATGTCCTAAGTATAAATGAAAAATAGACTATTTAATTTGTTCAGGTTTGTTAACAATTCAATCCTTTTGCATTGAGGATGTATAAGTGGCTCAATAGTGACTCTATAATTGTAGATGAATTCATCTTGACCTTTTGTTATTATTATTATTATTATTAGATGAATATATATATATATATATATATATGGATTTAATGGGAGAGGGTTTGTTTAGGACACGGTAATTTTATATATTGTAATGTTTTGATTGAAAACTAAATTACTATTTTTAGTTTTTTGAGGTGAATTTTTATAATGACTCTTAAGAACAAATTTCTATGTTACAATGTAAGATCTAGTTTTGAAAAAGAGTTCAAATGAGATTGAACTTTGTTTTTGAGAAAAAATATTTACTTTAGTCATTGCTAGTTGGCATGTGCAAATATTGTTAAGTATCAAAATATTGAAAGAAAATGCAATTTTAAATTTTAATTAATTAACTGTTTGGACAGAATAATTCTTAATTTTAACAACCATGCAACTTCTCATGTATAACTTAATTCATGTAATTCTGTGATATTTGCCTAGCATTAGATTGTCTGTCTTATTTTCATTACAGTATTTGAATTTTTTTTTATTTGTTTATATATTTATTGATTTGGTTAACTCTAACTGTGGATGAGTAATTGTTCTAATTTGCAATAACAAGACCAAAACCCATGTGAAGGTGCTTGCCTTCAATATCTCCACCAAATATTATCTTTTTTTAGAAATCTTAGGCAATGGCAGAATGCGTCTTGTCAAGGGATTATTGTCATGGTTATCTTCAGCTAACACAGATATAAATTGGACAAGTACTAAATAGCTAGAATCAAATTGAATAGTAAAGAGACAAGAACAAGAACAATAATAGTAAAGAAGAGGATGTACAGTGAAAGAGGCAGAGTGCAAAACAGGCTGGGGCAGGGATCCACTTGGAGTATGATGTGTTGTAAACCCTGCCCCCTTAGCTTCACAACTAGTATGGGAGTCTTTGTTGAACAGAAGCTTTAATTGCTTTAGATACAGCAACTCCAGCTGTGCCACCAGCTCTTCTGTGATTGCCTTCACTCTCTGGTATTTTAGGAAACTTAAGGAAACTCCACTTCCTCCATCCCTGTGGATTTGAAAGCAGTTTTTTTTCTTATTTCTTCTTTTCATTCATTCATTCATTCATTCATTCATTCATCTTCTTCTGTGTTACATCTAGACGTCTTTAAACCATGTCTTTACATCACAATAAAATCCCAAGTTTATAATTGAATCAGGACCCAAGCTTACAAGCAGGTGCTTCCCAATCCATCTCCACTTCATAAGAGTTTACTCACTGTCCTGTTCCTCTGGCAGCCTACACACACAAACCTTTGTATCTTGGTTCCCTGTCTAAGGGTAAAAGATTGAGAATGTTTCTTTCAAACATCTTAAGTGCCATAATTGGTAATTCATTAGGCATGTTGTTCAACAAAAGAATAAATTAAACATTTTTCTCATGTGATGACAATAAAGTACCAGACATACATCACAATAAAATCTCAAAAGGAATTGTAGACCTCCCTACATCAATTTTAAGAACAATTAAACAACCAGAGAAATATTGTTGGTTGCATGGGTGTTCACCCCATGCAACCAAACATATTCTAAGAAAGTGCTTGTGAACACACTAGCCATCAATTACTAGTTCAATTTTGCTGAGGAAAAATAAGTACTAAAATGTGAGTTCAAAACTTTATACTCATTTCATGTTTATTATTTAGATTTACATTGTGAAACACAATTTTTTATTTGAGGTTTTAGTTGAAATGTGTAAGGCAATCTGTGATGAACAAATGTTTTGGTCTTATAGATTTACATAACACTACTAAATTTACTAAAAGTGTAATTAAACTAATGGGTCCCACCACTTTCCAAGTTATTATAATGTTGGATGCACGATTTTACTTATTGAACAACTTTATTTAGGTGAGCAATCTCATGCCTACATGGCAAGGTTGCTCACCTAAATAAAGTTTGTATAACATATATTAGATCATAAGGAATGAAGGTTTGAGATCAAGGATGTCTACAAAGGAATCCATGCCAATGCTGAAATTGGAAGTCTTACAACAAATGAGTAAGGGCAGGCAACTTAAGCAGTATGGGATTGAGCTATATAGTGTTGATTCATGCACACATGTACATGTGTTTGTCTGTTTGTTTGTTTTTTTCCTTCTGTATTATAATGATTGATTTCAAGGGGTGTTTTGGCCACCTGCGGTATTATTGTTATTCATGTGATGAGTGTTGCTGAGAAGGGAGGGAATGCACAAAGCTGGATGCAGGTGGAGAATAGGAAACGTGAATGTGGACGTTGAGGCGTAAACTTGTGGAGCGTGCATCCATTCACCAGGTTTCCACAATCGGGGACGTGTCAGAGTGCGTCCTTTTCCCCCGTCGCTTCTCCCCGTCTTTTCCTTCCCCTTTTCTGCTTTCGCTTCTCTCCGATGTGCTTTCGCCATTCACCCCTCTTTCCCCACTCTCCTCCCCTGCATGTTAATTTTCTCTGGCTCTGCACCTCACGACCTCCTCCCGTCTCCTCCCCCTCCACAGACATGAGGCCTTTGTTAGTCTGCATGCCTCTACTACTTGTGGCGGCTCTGGTCCTAGGCCTGGATGGAGCTGGTGTTCCTAAAGGCGGCTGGGCCTCTCCTTCCATTCCTGTCTCTGGTGTCATCATCCCTGGCTTCGCTTCTTCTCGACTGCGCGCCTGGGCTCTTTTAGATTGCCCTTACTCCCCTCTAGATTTTCGACCGCTAGACCCTGTCTGGCTGGATACTAAGAAGGTTTTCAATATCTTCCCCGTTCGTCTTTAACGATATCACTTTTGTTAGCTAGTAATTCTTGCTTTTGAGATCACCAGAGCCCGTTACAATCATACGTACTTGTTTCATCCCTATTCTGTGCCTTTTACTGGTTTTCTCAATTTCACCCTCCTAGACATGTCAAATTAATTTCCTACTGCCTCACATGTCTTGGTTGTCTTATTCTTCTAACATTTACTCGAAATTCTAGTTCGATGGGGCTAACTAGCGGTTGTTGCGTTACGTGTAAGTGAAATGACTGTATGGCTTCGGATCCCTTGAAGAAACAGTTCCGCTCTCTTCGTTTCGTTTCAGCTGCAGTAGAATTGAACCTTCGTGAGTTGAATTGTTGATCTATCTAGGCGGATTGGACTTTCAGGTGTTGTCCGTGCTCAATTGTTGGCTAAAGTGCATGCTGCTCGACCCAGTCACTCAAGCCGACCATCCGGAGTGCAAGTCACGTCCTGATACTGGTCTTTCTGCCATCACGGAGCTTGATCCAGGCTACATAACTGGTGTGTAAAGAGGGCATCAGCATCCTGAATGTTGTTGATTTCTGTTGCCCTAGAATATGCAGGTGACATAGATAATATACCTTTCTATGCAATGCTCAAAATTTACTTTATGTACCTGTGTAAGGTGGTCGCATGGTTCCAAGAGGATTCACAAGTTATAATTATGTATATCTTTCGGTTCTCATCGATTCTTACCGGTGTTGCAGGCGCCTTGTCATCCGTGTGGCGGGAGTGGGTCAACTGGTTGGTAGAATTTGGAATCGAACCTGACGCAATCGTTGCCGTGCCGTATGACTGGCGTTTACCAGGGGCTATGTTAGAGGAGCGAGACCTCTACTTTCATAAGCTCAAGTAAGTGCTGCACTGGCAATTGTGCCCGTGGTCCCAGAGGAAGCAATTAAATAGTGATAAGAAAAGGGTGTTTTCCTGAACAAATAATGTTGTTAAATCAATGTTATAGAATAGTTATTTTGGTTTTATTTTCGTATCAACCTTACCATTGGCGGAATTCATTAATTTCTGAAACATAATTTTGTGATTGATACTCAGAAATCTATGTTTTATTTTGATTTTTTTGAATTATCATTATTATCATTATTATTAATTTATTATTGCTATTGTTATTATCATTATCATTATTATTTTTTTTATTATTTTTGTTATTATTTTTGTTTCCCCTGGTTTTCCCCGTAATGTTCAGAATAATATTTGAGACAGCGCGGAAGTTGCGTGGAGGCCCTTCTTTAGTTTACGCCCACTCAATGGGGAATAACGTGTTTCGCTATTTTCTTGAATGGCTGAAGCTGGAGATCGCCCCCAAGCACTACATGGAGTGGCTCGATCACCACATTCATGCATATTATGCTGTTGGTGTGCTTTCCTTTCCCCCTTCTCATGCTATTGTCTACCTCTTTGTTTGTCCGATGCACTTATTTTACACGAGAAGATTTAAGCAAGTTTAAGTTTTGTTTACTTCAATTTAATCGTTGATAAATTGTTTGTGAACCATTGATTGATTTCGGGTGTTGAATTTCAGGTGCTCCTTTGCTAGGTTCAGCTGAAACTGTGAAGGCGCTCATGTCAGGAGTCACTTTCGGGCTACCAATTTCTGATGTAAAATTTATCTTAAATTGGTTTGCTCTCTCATGTCGCACATTTTTTATTTATTTTTAATCTTCATCGAATTGAGACTGTGGATTATAGAGAGCAAGTGTGTACAATAGGGTCAGAATTACATCACAAAGATTATTCAAGAGTCTTAACGCACTAACTTTTCTGATGCTCTACTTATCTGCAAATCAGGGGACAGCAAGAGTCATGTGCAATTCATTTGCTTCTTCTCTTTGGATGCTGCCATTTTCAAAGCACTGCCATGTGGACCACAGAATGAGCAGTAACTTCCGAGAAAGTGATTCTGTGGTCGTGCCACATCTAGTATGTGATAAGAAGGAGTACGAAGGAAATTCGTCGAGTTGGCCCGTAAACCTTGTGAAAATTGATTTACCAGCCACTCCAGGTAACAAAGGGTACGTCTGTTTTGAGGATAGTAAAGTAGGACATTAACTGACTCAGTTTATCCCATTAGCTGGATCTTGCTGTAAGTCGGTTCTATGTTGATATATCCTACCATTAAATTTTGCTTGTTCTGTTCCAACTGAACCGGTTTTTGGTAGCGTACCCAACTCGACTTTAAGTTTCTATTTAAACGGGTTCAATATCGTGCACAGCGTGCTTGTTATACTTTTCACCGACAATCTGTCTTTGATCGTGCTAATCTAGGTAGCTGCCCAGCTACTGAAGTGGTTGCTCATCCGATTGCCCCACTTGCACAAGATGTTATGAGTCAAACGTTTCAATGCAGTATGCCCTCTCAGAAGTCTTATACTGCGCACCAAGTCTCCACTGGCACATTCTTGCGGGATATTCTGGATCATGACTTCAATAGTCCCAACGCACTTCATCATCTTATCAAGTACTGAACCTTCTATTACTTAAATTGATGATACCGTTGGATTCTTGGGCTGATGGTCTCGAGGAAGTCTGATGTTTCTAATATGAAAGACACACTGTGCTCGATATATTATTTGAATAGATATAGTTGAGCTTGGTTGGCGCATTCAGGACACAAAACCACGTTTTGTTGAGAGAATGAATAATTATCTGTGGAGACAGGTACTACCTGGAAGATCCGATTCTGAATCCATTGACACCATGGTCAAGACCGCCAATCAAGAATGTCTACTGCATTTATGGCGTTGATATGAAAACAGAGGTTTGCTTTCTGTGACCGGTTTTGAAAATTATCGAGGACTCTCTCTGCGCAAACTTGTTGCTACATTTACTTTTCCTGGAGCCCATGTAGGCTTGTATGTGGGTTGACTTTTAAGCTCACTTCAGAGGTCATTCTTTCATCGACCAGGAGTTTGGTAGACAATCCGTAATTTGGAACAATTCTGGGGCTTCTTTGTGTTATGATCAGGTGGGATATCACTTCGCACCAAGTGGTAAGGCATATCCTGACAATTGGATTATCACCGATATCATTTATGAGACTGAAGGTGGTCAACTTCAGTCAAGGTTAGTTGTCATGCACTGCCTTTAGCTCCTCGTTATCCTCATTTGGTATCTGGTGGAGTATCCTTGTATACCTCTGATCAGTGGCGGATGATAAATGGGTCTATGCTTTTTGAAGTCATCTTTGTTTTAGATCAACTTTTATAATGGACCTGATTCTCTTCTCTACTTTCTTGGAATGTTTTGCTGTATGAAGCATCGGGCTTGAATATCATCTCGCATCTCGAATCTTGATGAATTTCCTGGGAGCAGGTCAGGAATGGAAGTAAACGGTAGTACGGGACCATCAAGTGGTGATGTTACGGTATGATCACTGGATTCATTCAATTTATAGGTGTGTGTTTACAGTTAGTTTTCAGATTTACCAAGTGTAGCAATTCTCTATCAGTCTACTCAAATTCCCAAGTGTGGTCTGATAATGTGTTGTTTGCAGGTACCATACAACTCACTGTCGTACTGCAAGACATGGCTAGGGTCACGAGTGAACATTACCAGAACTCCACAGGTTTCTTGCACTTTTTTCAGTGGAACCCATCAAATGCTGAGGAGCAGGAGTTGATTGCTTTTGACTGTAATTGATCTTCAGATGTGTAGATGTTTTTACAGCTTGCTCAAATGACCATTCTCCAAGTATCGAAATTACTGGCCGGTGTAGGTATCTTAGTTTGGTGCTGTTTTAGCTGATTGTGGGAAGATTGCTGCGGTGATTTGTTTAATTTCCATCACTTACTCCGACAACTAAAGGAGCATGCAGATATACCCTTAATATTAGAGCTCTTTACCCAATTTCTTTTCTTAAAAACCAGTTTTTCGGATGAAGTGCAGACTGCCCACGAGGTAACGGACATGCAGGAGCAGCTGAATGTGGAACATGATCGAGAGTCGGATATTGTTCCCAACATGACCAGAGATAGCAGAGTGAAATATATCACATACTATGAAGATGGAATCAGCCTTTCAGGAAAACGAACAGCTGTTTGGGAGCTAGATAAAAGTACGAGTGTCAAGAACTGAGTTAATACTCCCTTTGCGAGATAGTTTGATCTCTCCAGTTCGAAAGTATTATGCACGCGTCTCTTGGTGATGTTGCAAACATCCATTTTAAGTGACATGATAATGCAGACGGTTCTCTAATATGTTGTCGTGGATGTGCAGTTGATCACCGCAATATAGTGCGTTCATCAATTTTGCTGAGAGAACTTTGGTTGGAGACTGCTCACAGTTATCACAAAGATGCTAAGCGACAGTTTGTATCAAAAGGTAATCATCTGGAAATTAGTGTTTTGTTTTGTTTTGTTTTGTTTTTTTTTTTTTTTGACGATTTGCATTATGGAGTTGTAGGGAATTCAGTCCGTGCAGATCTAACTTGTTACTTCGCTTATTCTTTACAGCTGATACTTAGCTAGCAAATGTTATATGATGCAGAACGGCGAGAACCAATGCGGGATGAGGATTGTTTCTGGGACTATGCAAAAGCAAGATGCGGTCGTCCAGATAGATGTGAATATAGGTGCTTTTCCCCTTTTGACTCTTCCTAATTTGTATTTGGTTTAGAGTTTAGGGTCCTGTAAATAGCTTGTAATAATGTGTTGTGCACAAGGATTGATATTTGGAAAATTATTGAAGTTTTATTTTGTTCTCATAGGGGTAAGTTATTGTGCAGATATGTTTTTGGAGATGTCCATCTAGGTCAAAGTTGTCGACTGCAAGCTTCATCTGACAAGGATCATATCTTGCGCTACATTTAAAGTTTCAGGCTCATTCTATGACTACCTTAGGGGTTAAGTTTATTGCTGTTAGCTACATGATTTGTCCACATTTTGGCATACGTTTAGGCGGTAGGGTTTTGGGTATTATGTCGTTGCTCTGTAGCTTTTTGGTGCGTCCACTTTTAATTGCTATCTAATTTACAAGGCCGTGTTGTATGGCTCCAGGTTGTTCAAAAATCTCATTAGCAACTATTATTTCATTTATATTAAAAGAAAGTTGACGTTTCAAATGCTGCGTTATTGAGTAGAATCGGAGTATGCAGCCTCAGACGTTTTCGTTCATCCTAATCTCGGTATTTTATGCCGCGAAACTATTTCCAAACGGGGAATAACAGCCATTAGAGAAAATTTTAATTGCAATAAGAAGAATGTGTAACTTTTTATTTATTCATATTTTTTTCGTTTTTATGTTTTCATTTTTTTTGTTTTATCATGATGGAGATAAAGAATGTCTAAAAAACATATTCAAAATACATGTAAATAATTTTTTTAACCAAAAAGACTTGTAAAAGTATTTTTTTTATCACTTCTATTTGTAATTTTTTCTCATTAATAAACAAAAAAACTTAGACTCTTGTGAGTAACATTAAGTACATCAGATTTTATCTATAAATATTATTAAAGTTAGATTGCTTACTTAAATAGTATTTAGAAGCATCACAAAGAAAAATAAAGGTAACACAGATTATTTTAAAATAAAATTTATATTCAAAAGTATAATTTGTAATTTAAAAATTATAAAATATAGATTAAAAATTTGAAATTAATAATCAATATATAGCAATATTCGTATAAATTTTAGTGCTGAAGATATTTTTTGAAACTAAAGTATGTGTATTTTTGACTTAATTAGTAATATTGTATCTGTAAAAATAAAATCATAGGTTTTTGTAAATTTATTAGGATGCAAAAATAAAGACAAATAGAAAAGAGAAGTATGTACAGAAAAAAAATACATGTTTGACCAATTCTTATTGAGTTGGTTTAAAATTTAGTAATATTAAATTTCTAAAGAATTTTTTGTAGTTTTGAAGCAATTGATATTTGTATTTTCATATTTTTAATATAAGACCTATTGCTGTTTCTAAGTATTAGAAAAAAGTAATTTGTTAAAAAAATCTAAAATAACTTAATTGTACTACATTCATAAGTCTTTATGTCACTTATAATTTATTTTTTACAAAATCATCATTTTTTTTTTAGATGGTGAATTATAATAATAATTCTTTCTTCCAATTTATCTTCTTATTTTATTGTATGTATTGTTATAAATATTCATATTTATTTATAAATTTACAAAAGTAATTTAGAGTTGCTTGTAATGGATGGTGTGAAATGAGAGACAAAATCAATAAAAGACAAAGAAGAATAAGTACAAATTAAGTAAAAAAAAATGCAATCAATCAATTATTTACTCCAAAAACCAGTCACAATCTATTCAATGGATTTTTACTTAGTAAAAAATAAAAATATAAGAAGAAAATATTTTTTGACATATAGTTAATTTAACTTTTGAATGACATAATTTTTTTGAAAATCCAAGTTACTATAAGTAAGCTATGAAAATTTATTGATATAAGACAAAAGTCAAAAATTAAGTAGATAAGTTTTATCTCAAAAATAATTTGCTTAAAAACTTAAGGTTTAGAGTTTAGGATTTTGAGGATTACGATTTAGGATTACAAGGATGTTCTTGGTTTTTGGACCTAAATATTTTTGGATTTTGATTTGACATATCTCCTCTATTTATGACATTTAAAATTTTAATGGTATGATTACTTTACTATAAAAGTTCATTGTTTGAGAAATATAGCTACTTTGATTTGGAATTTAAGATTTTGACTTTTTTCATACAAGGATTTTTGAAATTTTTGAAAAGCCCATTGGATTGATTTGAAGGTCGCTCATTTTAAATAAGTACTTGAAGTTTTCTGAAAGTACATACATTTGTAGATATTAAGTGTTTGACCATTTTGACTTTTGAATTGATTTTGCATATGAATAGGAATTTTTAAGTCTTGATTTGATTTACCTCTCTATTTGAAGAGTCTAAAAATCTAATAGTGGACTTGAAATCCTACACATATTTTTTAATTTTGAAATATAATGTATTTGACTTAATATAATTTTTTGTTGACTTTTTTTATACTTTATCTTTTTGAAATTTTGATTTAACTGGGATTTAAGATTACATAGTGACTTTGAGATCTTAAGATTTTGGATTTAGGATTTATAATAAGAAAATTATAAGTTTATATAAACTTGATATATACTATTGTAAATGCCTTGAAAACTTAGTCATAATAGATTCAAAAATTAAAACAATCTCATAAAAATTATATTCAAAATTAACAATGAAAGATTTAGTTTCTTAAAAACAAAGTGCAATACATTTTTGCTCATAACTAGTGATTTACGAAACACCCACAAACTTCATATATATCAATGAAATTACCTTAAAAAAATTAATTACATTGGAGTCAAAAATTACAAAACTTGGATCAAATTTGCATACAAAATCAACAATTAAATTATTGGTTGTCATGAAAACAATGTTCAACATATTTTTGCTCATAAATAGAGATTTACAAAACAGCCACAAATATGCTATATACCATTGGAATCGCCTTAAAAAACCAGATACATTAGACTCAAAATATGCTCAAATCAAATCAAATTTGCATATGAAATCAATAAACAAAGATTTGGCTTTCTTGAAATAAATTTGCAACATATTTAAGCTTATAACTAGAGATTTATGAAACAGCTATAAATATGCTATACACCATTATAATTGCCTTAAAAACTCAGTCTTATTGGACTCAAAACTTGCTCAAATCGGATGAAATTTGTATACCATGTTTAAGATTTATTATTATATGTGTTGAATTTAAGAGTTAGGATTTAGAATAACAAAGATTTAGAATTTAGGATTTAAGGTTTAGGATTATAAGGATTTAGAATTTAAGATTTAAGATTTAGGATTTAGAGTTATATGTGTATTTCAGAAAAAAATAACATACATTTTTTTAGAAATTTGAATTGATTTATTCCACCATTTTCAAGGATTGTGGCTTAACTTGGTGCAATTAACTTTATTTGGTAGATATAAACACTGTGGCTTTTAGATATAGAATTGAATTTTTTGTTGGTAAAAAATTTCAACATTTTGAAGTGACTTATTCCTCATGTTTCAAAACATGGTGAATCTAGTGGTGTATTCAGTTTTTCAAAGAATGTATTGTTTGGTTGATATGGAGGTTTTAAAATTAAACTTTATGATTAATAAATTTTTATATTTTTATAATTTTAAAATTTGGAGGTGATTTATTCTTCCGTTTCTAGACATTGTGATTCTAATGATATAAAAATATTTATTTATATTATTTTCATTTGAATGATATGTTGGATCTGACTTTTTACTATTGATAGTAACTTTGGAATCTTAGGAATTAGGATTTAGGATTTTTAATAAGAAAATTATAATTTTATATAAACTTAATTTATACTATCATAAATATTTTGAAAAATTAGTCATAACAAACTCAAAAATTAAATCAATCTCACAAAAATTGCATTTAAAATTAACAATGAAAGATTTGACTTCTTAAAGACAATCTGTGACACATTTTCGCTCATAACTAGAGATTTACAAAACATCCACAAACTTCATATATACCATCAAAATTAACTTGAAAAATTAGTTATATTGGACTCAAAAATCAAAAACTTGGATAAAATTTGCATATAAAATCAATAATTAAATTATTGGCTTTCATAAAAATAATATACAATTTATTTTTGCTCATAAGTAGAGATTTATAAAAAATCCACTAATAAGCTATATATCATTAGAATTTCCCTAAAAAATTAATCACATTACATTCAAAACTTACTAAAATTAGATCTAATTTACATACAAAATTAAAAATCAAAGATTTAACTTTTTAAAAACAAATTTGCAACACATTTTTGCTCATAACTAGAGATTTACAAAATACCTACAAACATGCTATATACCATTGAAATTGCTTTGAAAAATCAGTCACATTCAAGTGAAAACTTATTCTCATAGACATATATACTTGCTCTAATAAATACCTATATGATTAGGTAAAAATAAATAAAAATAGATTAATTCCATAATATTTTTAAAAAAAACATCTTAAAAGCTTTATAGATACTATTTTGACTTTACATATTTTTGGAGTTGATTGCTAGATTAGAAACTTAGTCAACAAGTTAACCACATATTAATAGCTTACAGAATAAGTTAATTATGTGGTATATAAATAAAAAACTCACCTTGTAAGTTAAGATATGTGTCTTGCAAAGTCAACACATTTTAAAAGTCGTATAGGACATCGTCACCTAATTCTTAATTAAGAGAACATATAGAGGAAAGAGTGCAGCCTTCTTCGCTCTTGTCAATGTCTTTTTAGTCTTTAGTCTTGTTTCAAGACTTTCTAGTCTTCTTGTCTTCGGCAATAGCCATTATAGTTTAATACCATATCATCTTTGGATGACTTTCTAGTTCTTTCGAGTAACAGAAGAATGTATTAAGGATTTTTTTTCTTTGAGATTCAAGTCCTTGATATTTTGACAAGAGTCTTAACTCATTGTTTCTATGTTGTTTTAGAAGTGAGTGAATTACTATACTTTAAACAAACAATCTTATTTTCAAACATTGATTTTTTCCTTAAAGAGAGTGAATTATCTCTTTTTAAGGAAATTTTTGATTGATATTAGAGGTTGTAAATTACCTTCTTCTAATTTAAATTTTTGAATTTATTTTACTTGTCTTTGAAAGAAAAGATTATAGATGCTACTCTCAATAGAAGTGAGAATAAATTTGTAACTATTGCAAATATTCATGAGCTTATCAGCAGTCTTAGAGTAGAAATCTTATATATTTTTAATATGAATCATGGAAGTGATATTCCTACACATATGGAAGAAGTTCAAAGTTTGCATCAAAAAGTTGTACAATTGAAGGAAGTGAATAGATCAACATCACAACCAAATCCAAAAAAGTTTTTCTTCTATAAGTATAATGGAGACAAAGATTAATATGCTTGAGAAGTTTGATGGAATAAGATCAAAATTTCAAGGATTCTTGTAACAAATCAAATTCTATTTTAAGTTACATCCCTTCCAATACCTTGATAGATTTACTCAAGTCAAATTCATAGGCACACTTCTATCAAGAAGTACTCTTTTTTGATTTACACTTTAATAGAAAAAGATTTGTGACTCTTTTATGATTTGAATTCATCTCTAGAAGTGTTTACGGCGACATTTAAAGAAAGTGATAGAAAAAAGTAGTAGAGACCAAGCTCTTATCTATATGACAAGGATTACAGTCAACCACTATATATGTTGCTGAATTTCAAAACCTTGCTTGGA